ACGCCAGGCTCAGCCCGCGGGCCCTGCCCCTGCTCTGTTCCCTGAGCAGAAACCCACAGCTGACAGCAGTTGTGAAAGGCCCGGCCACGCACCGAGCTCTGCTCCAGCAGACCTTGTGCAATGCTGATCTGCAGGCAGGGAGCAGCCCCTCCGGGCTGCTGCTCAGAACAGAACGTGCTGCTTGCAGGAAACATGAGCCACAGCAGAACTTGCTTCGAGTCCCCAAGAGCTTCATCTGCTTCTGTCCCAAATCCTTCAGTCGGTGCACTTGAGGGGAATGACAGAGCCTTGGTAGCCTCTCTCCTGGCTGGCTTTAACTTTAATCTGGCAACACTTATGTCAGTAGATGCATGGCTTTAATTTAGTCACTTGGGAAAGAGGTCAAACCAAACTCCAGGAATTAATGTCCCTAGCAAAGGCTGGACAAAAATACTTTTATCTATGGAACCGGAAGCATTTTTTTCTTACAGATGGGGTTTTTCTGCCTTCCTCTTCACCTTTTCTCTGTCTCATCTGTTTAGAACCCTTGGGAAAGAATATTTTTGTACCCTCTCAGCCCCAAGCACAGTAGGACCCTGTCCTGGATCAGTCACTGGGCCCTGGAGAGCACAGGGGTCCAGAAGAGCTGGCTGGCTTTCCAAGATTACCTCCCCTGAGCTCAGGGAAGGTCCATCCCAACAAGCAGGAAATGAAGCACAGGCACCAAGGAGGGAGGCAAACTCTTCTCAGTAATGCTCACTGATGGGATGAGAGGCACAAATTGCAACATTATCAGATTCCATCTGAACAGAAGACAACAATGGTTTTTATTGTGAAGGTGCTCAAAACCTGAAGCAGGTTGCCCAGAGAGGCTGTGGAGCCTCTACCTATTAAGATATTAAAAACCTAACTGGACACCATCCTTGGCAATCTGCTCTAGCTCACCTTGCTTGATGGAACTTGGGCTAGAGGGTCACAAGAGGTCCCAGACAACTTAATGAACTCTGTGAAATACTTCTGATCAGTCTTTGCAAATGCAGGAAGAGACAAAGAGCTCTAGAAATCTTGATGCATGGAATAGCGAGGCAAGGTCACAAACTCCCTCTGTATCTGTAAAAGGAGCTGGGACTGTATTGGGAAGACAGAGCTGGTTATCTTTTCTGTTACTAAATGAGACATGAATACTTTCCAGATTAATTTTAAGGCAGTATTATTTACAGTGTCTTTTCCACCACTGATCAACAATTTTGCTGTGCTTGTTTCACAAAGCGACACTTAAAATCTTGCTCTTATTTTTTTCATCATCATTCCACTTCCCAACTCCTGAGAGTGCCCTTGGTATTATCCTGCAGTGATTCCTCTTCGCTGCAAAGGTGACCTGCAAAACAAACTTTTTTTTTTTCTCTCCTGCTTCTTCATAATGTATAAAGAGACAGAAATTATTCTTAATTTATTTTTGTTTTCCAGTATCTTATTTCCTGCTGCTTTTTTAAACTCAGAACGATAAGGCTTTCAAGCTGCAGCTGTGGGTGAGGGAACACCAGCTTTCTGACCTCCCTGCTGGAGGCATAGTCAGTCTGCTGCCAACAGGAGGAGCAGAGAGGGCTTTGATGCAGGTGTATCTGCAGCTGCAAGAACTTCGAGGAGACTCACAAATACCCTGTAACAACAGGTAGGCCTAAAAAGAAGTCCAGAAG